GCTCTGGCAAGTGTTCTGTGAGGCAGAGGCCTAGAGTGCGCCCGTGAGGAGAGGGCCCGGACGGGCAGGCACCTGCCCCATGTCCTGAGGTCAGCAGGGCCCTGAACCACTCTCGGGCCCGTTAGGAGTGAGTGTTCTTCTCTGAGCCAGTGTTGGGCTCTCGGTTGTTCACAGCCCGAGAAACCTGATGTTCCAGTTGGCCCTGCTGCTCTTCCCCGATTCCCTGTCCAGCATAATCTCTACACAGACCTCGGACGGGTCGCTGTGTCTGCCCTCCCAGTTCTCTTCTAAGTGCCCTGGAATCCCTCCCCTCCTCTCCATTTTCCTGCAGGGGTGAGGTCCACCTCACTCCTCCCTTTTTCTCGTCACCCCTCTGCTGTCACAGAAAAAAGTAAAGCCATCAGTCACATGGGACTCCAAAAGCCCAGCGATGGAAGAAAGGAAGGGGTGCGTGTGGATGCTGGAAGCCGCAGACACCCTTCTCGTCCCTGGCTTCCAGAGTGGAAGTGCCATGAGTTCCCCTCTCCACCCAGAGCCCCACCCTCAACCCAGGACCCAAGCAAAATGCCCTCCCCCTGTTCCCACCGGATGGAGGGCACCTGTGGCAGGGCCGGGGCCGGGGTGTGAGGGGACACGAGGTGACCCTTCTGCATCTGCAGACTCACAGGAGCCAGTGGGAGTGCACAGCCGTCTAGCCGAGGCTTGCTTAGTTTGCAAAGTAAAACTCCCAGCTGGCACAGAACACCAAGTGCGGGACTGTCACGGGGTGGGTGGGGGGAGGGTACCGGGTTAAAGGAAAGTCAACGGCGCGGCTAGAAGAAGGCAGGGCCTTTATTGGTGCCGACTGGCTCTGCCCCATGTAGCTCCTACCGCCACGCTGTGCACGGCATGTGGCCAGGAATGCCGAGGAGCTGAGCTGTTCATGCGATTTAATATAAGTCAATGAAAATATATAAAAACCGAAGCGTGACCCTGTATGCCACCACCCTTCAACTGAATGCACGAGTGATTCCTGACGCAATCCCAGGCCCTGGGCCCCAAAGATGCCCACGTTCTGGAAAATCACTTCCTTGGGAGACAGCCAGATAGTCACTCTAATCCATTGTTCTTTATTAGCTTTTAGAAAAAGCCACACATTCAGAAAGTAAGTTTATTGGCTCAATATAATTAGGTCAACGAAACCCTATTTTAGCTTCAGTATTTCTCACAGTGCAATCCATGAACATGACCGACTCATCCGTATTAAGACAGACAAATGCCCCAGGAAGCTGGGCTTTGAATCTGAGTTTACAATTCATGCTCTTCATGGCTCTGCCACACCCATCGTTTTAAAGAATGTACTTAACGAAGAACCACGAAGTCCATGGCTGAGCTGTCAGCTGGTCCATAAACAGCCCTAGGTTTTTGCTAACAGGATATTAACTCTACCATTCAAATTCTTCAGGTACTGACCTGTTTTTCCCTTAGTGTATGTGTTCAAAATTAAATTGTATCATGCATTAACATTTCCTACTGCATTTATGTTTGAGATGGAATAATGAATTTCAGGATTCCTGGATTTATTTTATATCAAGATAGTAAAAATTAAACGACCCAAGTATCCCAAAGCAATTTTCTGGATGCGAGCTATTCTGAGAAAGTGTACCCTTGGCCCCTGCTAAACATACTTGTGCAGCCACTCAATTAAATTCCTTCTTGCCTCGTCAACATAGGGCTTGTCCTCGGCTGAACAGTCTTCTCTTTTTCGATGCACGAAGCCATGGGTTTGCCCAGAAAATGTTTTAATTTGATATTCCACTTTGCAGTGTTTTTTCAACTTCTGGGTCAGCAAAGAGACCTGATAATGCAGAAGATTTCATGACAGTATGACTTTAACAATCTGGTAATATTTTCCATTCTCCAAATCCTCTCTGAATGCTCAAAAGAAGTCTAACATCGGTGCCTTAAGTTCCGTAGCTACTGTGGATTTGTTACTTTTAATTTGACAACTAAGAGTCCTCGGCTCTGGCAAAGGAGAGCATCCCAAGCAATGTAAAAATTCGATAAATATCAATTTCTTGAAATTAAATTAGTACCTTTTGTGTATCATTCAATATATAATATAATACTCATTCGATATATAACAAAATAATATAGTCAAGCATAAATTGTTTTAAGTTTATATTAGTATAGTGTATTAGTAATGAATAATAACAATTTCTAAGCGACTGCTTTTGAACCACAATTTTCTGCTTTTTTCTTATCAACATACTGGGTTTAACACACCCATGTTTTTTTCTTTTCTTTTTTTTTTTTTTTTTTAAAGTAAACTCTATCCCCAACATGGGGCTCGAACTCACGACCCCGAGATCAAGAGTCGCATGCTCCACCGACGGAGCCAGCCGGGATCCCCAACACGCTCATGTCTTTAAGAACACACTTCATCTGAACTCCCGGGTTCCATGTGGGGGGATGGGGAGGCCGAGCTTCTATGCCCAGTAACCAGGCCCCACCAAGAGCACATTCGGAGGATTACAATCCCTAAATTCCCCAATAAAACCCATCTTTAAATTTTTCATGTGGAGAATGTTTGGAGGAACAAATGAACCCTTTGAGACATTTTCCCCAAAAGGTCAAATCATGTCATTAAATACAGAGATGAGGGACACCTGGGTGGCTCGGTCAGTTAAGCATCAGACTCTTGATTTCGGCTCAGGTCATGATCTCAGGGTTGTGGGATTGAGCCCCGTGTCGGGCTCCGAGCTGAGTGTGAGCCTGCTTGGGATTCTCTCTCCCCCTGCCCTGAGTTCACTCGCTCTCTCCCTCAAAAAGTAAAAATCAAAACAACAACTGTGGGTGTGCCCACTCCTACAGGAAAATAAGCAAAAAAAGAAAGAAATGAGAAAAGATACCAACTTACTTGCTCAAGAGGAATCACAGCATCATTTTCGGCAAAAATGAACAACGTGGGGTTCTTCAAACTGTGCACATCTTCAGAATCCTTGATGATGCCTGGAAATTGGGGACAGGGACACGGGGGTAGGATTTCCACACACGTGCCTCAGAAAACCATGTGGGTTTGGCTTGATTTTTTTTCAAAGTAAAATCTGTGCTTTCGGGGTTTTGTTTATTTTCTTTCTAGCAATTCCACGCAAGTGGCCCGACTTTCCTGCTCTCCACCTCCTTCACTGGGTCAGGCCACAAATAACGGAATTAGACCTTGCAGCGGCTTTGCACGCAAAGATGCAGAAGCAGCCCCGAAAATGCTCCCTCCTCGTGGGGCACGCCTTCATTTACAAAGAAGTGACGACTCTCCATCTGCACCTTCTGACCACCACTGTTCTAGAAGTTTCTCAAGGTCCACACAAGCCCCATGGCTTCTGGCCTCAGTATGCCGAGGGGCCTCGTTCATACAGCGTTCCACGGGGTAACCATGCCCAGACCAGACCACGAGTGTCAAGTCTCAGATGTGCCACCTGGTCCGTCTGCAAAAGTTACCTTTCATCCTTCAGAATCACAGAGCATTTGGTCAGAAGCCTGTCCTGCCTTGGGGACAACCACCGTGGGTGTGCCCCCTCCTACAGGAAAATAAGCAAAAGAGGTACCATATGTTGCCCCTCTAAGAAGAACCGTAGTGTTAAAGGAAAGATTACTCTGACACTTGGTAAGGAGGCTGTATTCAAAGGGGACCACCGCACAGGAGGGTGTGAGGGGAGACAGATCCCTCCGCCCAAATACAAGGACAAGTGGGGATTTATGGCCAAGGAGCAGGGTGCGGGGCAGTGGGCAGAAAATTACGAAGAGGAAACACTGGGGTAAGACGGATTCTGGCCAGGTGATAGGACAGGGTTCTTGCTGACAAGAGATGGAAGGCGGGGTGTGAGGAACTTGGACAGACATCAAAAGTAGGGGGTTCTCTCTGAACTGCCCCAATGGGCCAATGTCAGAGCCCGGTCGGGGCCTCCTCGGAAGGAAGACTCACGGTGGAGCCTGACTCGAGTTTGGTGCCGGACAGGGTCCCAGTCAGGAGGGAGAAAATAATGGAAATCTTTTGTTTCCATTTCCTGCGGGGGCCCAGAGAGCCTCCCCTCAACCTGGAACTCGTCTCTAGAAGCAGGGAGCCACAGGACAGATGGCCACGCTCTGTTAAGGCCACAGTGTGTCGCTGGACAGAGGTTTGACGCCCTGGAGTCCCGCCGGGCTCTGCAGCTCGTGCAGTGTGCAACAGCGGCCAGCAGGGGGTGCTGGCGAGGCGTCCACCAGGCTATTTCACACCAGGGCACCGAACGGCCCGGAACAGCCAGCCCCCTCTGCACAGCGGCAGCTGACAACTGACTATTAACTTTGGGGTAAGTTACTATTTAAAGGGGTTTTTTTTTTTCTTGCTAAAAGCAAAAATGCCACAGCAAGAAACCATTAATCCAAATAAGAATCCTTTGTGTAACTGTACAATATACTATCATGAAAGAAAGCCAAATTGCCTTCCACATCTTTTTTTCTTTTTTTAACATTTTTATGGTCCGAATGCTTCTACACTGTGAACTTAGTATGCCATTTCCATATAGAGATGGAATGTTCTTATCTCATTGCTATCATACGTGCGGTTGGTTTGGCTACAATGTTTATGCTGCTACTTACATTTTAGAATCGCTTTTCCTTTTCTTTCCTTCCTTTATATTGTGTGCCTGTGTGTGTGTGTGTGTGTGTGTGTGTGTGTGTGTATGCGGTTGAAAATAACTGCTCTCTTGGAAAAATACCTTCACAGATGTTCCTCGTAAAGAATATTGTTTGATATTCACCATTATCACAGAAATAAATGTGACCCCCTTCATCCTCGGTGAAGAAATTGAGACCTCGGGTTAGGTGACTCCTCTGGTTACTGCATTACCAACCTCCACCTCCACGCTCACATTTTTAAAGCCAATTCCCTCAAGACGGGCCATCTCTGCACAGCTGGGTCTATGCTGCTCCCCGAACCGTTAGTTTGGGAAGAGGCTCCCGGGTGTCCCTCAACCACTCCTGTTCCCATAGCGTAAAATGCACAAGGCAGATTTACCGTAGACGGACACCCCTGCCCTGAATTCTGGGTATTTCATCATCACGTGATGGACAGCCACTCCGCCCCAGCAGAATCCCACGACGCCGATTTTCTGAGCGTGACACTGCTGTTTCAGAAACCTCAAGACAGCATCGACCTCCCTAGAACAGAAAGTTATCCAAGAATCAACAGATACGGATCACTTATATGTGGAATCTAAAAAGCCAAACTCAGAGAAACAGAGAGCAGAGTGGGTGCCGGAGGTGGGGCGTGGGGGAGAGACTGAGACTGGACAGACGACATTAACTACCAGTTAGAAGATTAACAAGCCTGGGGGTATAAGGTGCAGCCGGTGACCTCAGTGAGCAATACTGTGTGATAGACTTGAAGGCTGCTAAAAGGGTAGACCTTAAATGTTCTCACCATGAAAAAGAAACGGCAACTATGTGACAGGACCAGGTGTGGGCGAAGGCTATGGTGCCGATCCTTTTGCAGCATATAAATGTACTAAATGAGCACATTGTACACCTTAAACTTATACAACATTATGTGTCAATTATATTTCAATAAAATAGGGGCAGGGTGGTGGCGGGGGAGGCAACAGCGAAACACACACACACACCCAATCAAGAGGGATTTTGTGAGCCCCCTGGGGAGTGAGCTGGACAGCAAGTGCTGTACCAACAGTAACAGGGGCTTCGGCATCCGCTGTTCCTTGACCTTCTGAGATTTCTTACTTTCGTCCTGCCTGAGTGACGCACATCCCCCCACCCGTCTCCCCACGGGTCTCCCTTCCGAGCCCAGCCTCCTCCAACCACCTGTCAGGGCTGCCGGAGGGCTCTCAGCAAACCACACATCAGACCAGCTCGCATGCCAGCTGGAAGCAGAGTTCTGGCTTTCCGAAGCCTCCGGATAAAGGCCAAAGGCCAAAGCACCACTCCTAAGGCCTGATCCCAAGATCCACCCTCAGCGAGCACCCGGGCCCGCCCTCCTCTGGCAGGCACCGGCTGCAAGTGGGCGGCTCCCCTAACTCTCTAACTTGGCACGTTCACCCCTTCAGCTAACATCCCAACTCAGCACCTCCGGACTCCTCCCTCCGGTGTCCCCAAAGAGCAGAGGGGGGATTTGGAAAGCCACCAGGACTATTTAAGCCAGGAGAGGACCAAGAATAGTGGCCCAGTCTGGTAAATGGCTCATTTGCAAATTGATTGTTTGGAACTCTGCGTTTTCAACCAAAAGCAATACACCCAAACGGAGGCAGGGCTGCGAGGCCAGCCAGAAAGTCCTGCTTGATCTGATAAGGAAGAATTGTGGTTTACAAGTTAGAAAAAGAAAAAGAAAGCCATCCCACTGCACTTCCTCCTTCCTTTCTCCTTTAGTCATAGCATATCCTTGAGCACATTTAAATACGTGTATCATACCACTGCGTGCAGTTATTTTCATCATGTTAGCAGAAATTAAGTAGTTCTGCAAACTGAAATGGAACAAGCAACGGTTTTTGACATTTGGGGCTTTAGGTTTTCCTTCAATGCTTTGATCCCAAGAATAACTGCTTTGGGGGCGCGCGGGTGACTCGGTTAAGCATCCAACTTCAGCTCAGGTCATGATCTCTCGGTCGGTGGGCTGGAGCCCCGCGCGTCAGGCTCCGTGCTGACAGCTCAGAGCCTGGAGCCTGCTTCAGATTCTGTGTGTGTCTCTCCCTCTGCCCCTTCTCAGCTCACGCTCTGTCTCTCTCTCTCTCAAAATTAAATAAACAATAATGGTAATAAAAAAAAAATAACTGCCTTCATTGGAGGGAACAAGAAAGAGGCCATTTCCATAAAAATACTGTAACTCGAGTGAACAGGCCTTTGCTCGTGCTGCTCTGAATGTGTTCCCTACTTTTCTGGGAGCACCAAAGTTTAGCCTTGGATGAACCTCTCCCCCAACCCATGCTTGATTCTTATACCTTGGGAACTGTGCCCTAGGTTCCAGGAGTGAAGTATGTGGGTCAGGCTGACCACCAGAGTATAGCAATCTCCTGGCCACAGTGATTGGTTGAAGGATGGACCTGTGACTGAGTCATAGCCATCAGGGCAAAATGAGAATTTTACTGGCTTGCGGGAAAAGAAACCAATGTGGGGGCTGGAGCTGCGGCAGCCATCTTGCCACCCAGAGGCAAAAGCTGCCTGAGAATGAAGCCAGTGCACAGGATGTGGAGTGGAGACACGTTGGGAAGGCACGTCCTGGGGATACTTTCTGCACTGCGAACCAACCCCTGCTTGAAACCAGAAACGACCTCTTCTCAGTTCTATAAACCAAAATATCCCATGACTATGTAAACAGTAAGCATTCAAGATGGGTTTTCTGTCACTTGCAAACAAAAGACACTTGACCAGACACAAGGGTTTCAGTCTCCTTTCAAAGTCACTGTTTCTGTTTAATGTCTCATTTTTATTTAGGGGCGCCTGGCTGGCTTAGTCGGTTAAGCGTCCAACTTCAGCTCAGGTCATGATCTCATAGTTCATGAGTTTGAGCCCCACATCAAGCTCTGTGCCGACCGCTCAGAGCCTGGAGCCTGCTTCGGATTCTGTGTCTCCCGCTCTCTCTGCCCCTCCCCTGATCGCACTCTGTCTCTCTCTCTCTCTCTC